GAATAGAAAGTACAAATACTTGCGTGAAAATGTAATGAGTAGAAGTTAGAAGTAGGAAGAAAAATAAGTAATGGAGTAAAGTATAGATACTTAAAAAGGTTACTTAAGTACAGTAACAAAGTATTCGTACTTTGTTACTTGACGCCCTCTGCTCCTAAATGAAAGCAAATGAGACAGTATTTAATAATAGAGCTTGTTTTTACAGTATTTCATAAAGCCCTTCCAGGTTTTTTTTTCCTGTAAAGTTGAGATCACTTACTTAGTAACCCAATGCTTATCTGACCATTCAACGTTACTGTTTTTAAAACATGAGTGGATTATTGTTGGTGTTAAACATTAAAATCTCTGAAGCGCTGACAGACCATTATAGTGGTAAAAACTCCAGTTTACCAGCATGGGTGATTTTTGGTGCTTTGACCCATAGGCAGAATAACATGGAGAACCAGTGAATTTAACGTTTTATTTACAAAAGCAACAACAATCTGGAAGCACAGAACTGCAGGAAGGGAGAAAGCAGACTGATCAGGAAGTAGTTGGATGATGACAACTGATGACAGATTGGTCGGTGGATTGGTTTGATTCAGCAGGTCTTGCAGACTGTATCCCAGAGGTCCAGAATGTTAGCAGCCGCTTCAGGTGTTATCACCCCAAAAAATGGCCGTAATTGGTGGTTATCAGTCCCATAGAATGGCTTCAGATTGTGCCTTCTACCTACAGTAGCACTAGGCTTAGGAGGTTGTTATCACCAAAAGAATCATTATCCTAACCCTAACTTTTTTACTCACAGAATAAATTAATGTATTTATGTGTAATCTGAACGTAATTTTAGTAGTTCAGTATGCCAGTCATATAAAAAAAAAAACTCCTAAAAAAAAACTTTTTTTTTAAACACTGCATTAAATTTGCGTGACTGAAACATTTGGAATAAAGTAGATAAAAAGTATAAAGTATGTAAATACAAAGTGAAACATAAGTTTTAAGATGTGGCCCAAGTGACTATTATCAACAATTAGCTGAATATTATCTGCCATAAGAAACCTACTAGAACAGGCATCCCCAAAGTCGGTCCTCGAGGTTTTGCTGCTCCAGCACAGCTGATTTAAATTGAAAGCTGATTAACAGGCTGTAGCTAAACCGCAATCATCATAATCAACTTTGCTAAAGCATAGTAGTGCATAGCATAGTCCCATTCTATGGGACTCATAACCGCTAATAACAGCCATTTAATTATTGATCTTTGAAACTGGTGCGAAACAGATGATGTGACTGAGATCTGAACGTGTTTGTACTTGCAAGAGATGAATTGAGGTTCACTAGTTTTCTGGAACAATAGCAGAGCTCACATCAAAAAAGATTCACAAGAAGACTAATCGCAACAAGGAAGATATCCCTGGTTTGGGTTTTACCTGGAATACCGTTGGGGTAATCACCCAGAGAAGATAGATGATCCTTCGCCTCCTAATATGCACATAGCCACCAGCAAAGATCCTCTCTGTGACGGAATCTCACTCACACCAAAATGACGGGAAAAACCTCAGAGACCCCTTACAGGATGCATATATTTTTTTCTCTCTGATGGGGTTAAATTTCTACCAACGTAGGCTATGACCCTTAACTTTTCTGGATTAATAAAGCACTGCCCCAAACACTAATTCAGAAGCATCAGAATGTAGGACAAATGGTTTAGGTCTGGGTAATTGAGAGAGTATTTCTGTTGCTTTCAGTCAATAAAGGATTTTAGAGAATCTAGGTAATAAAAGTTTGTACAGTACAAAGGCTTTGCAATCTGTGAGATGTTTTTGAATGTAAGACCTTGAAAAACCCAAATCTGTCTCTTCTCCCCCACTTTGCTGGGGTGTTTTTCTCTAAGTGACAACACAGGAAAACTTGGATCCACGTAAGGCTCATCGTTTGACACCACTCTGCCCAAAAATCAGACGTTAGGCTTAGAATTTGTCGCTTGTTAAGCAGTAAGATCTTAGTATTACTGCTATTACATGTTTAAGGCGGTTCTTAAAGGAAGTGGTGTGAACCAAATTGTCATTGTGGCATGGTCAGCTAATGTCACGAGGACAACAAACACTCTTCCATGCAACTCTGAAACTCCAGTGGTGCAGAAATAAGTCCAAAGCATTTTTTTTTTCAATACTGTAAAGCAGAGGTCTCATATTAGTGAATCTGGATGATCAGGACCCATGATGTAAAACATTTATAAATTACTGCATGTTGTCTGACCACAGTG